CCATTCTCTGCCCAGCCTGTACTGGTCAAGCTCTGTCTTGCAAAAATGAGTGTAGAAATTCTTTCTCTAAAAAGCATGTCACAATTGAATCCTTCCTTTCAAAGTCATGCTAGTAGCCATAGTGGCCCCCCTTTGACCTAAAATGTAGGGTTAGAATACAGGTCTTGGCTGTAGAGTATTAGTTAAATTCTTTTTTCTGTCTGAGAATGTTAAAATGCATCTCACCTGCTTCTTTTGGAATGGAAAGATGATAAAAATTTAAGTTAATCTGAAATATTGCTGTTCAGGTGTTTCTGTTCTTATGTATTCTACCAATTAGTATAAGAAGCCGTGTTCTCAGTATTTTCTGTCAGGCCTACTGAATCTTTAAATGTTTTATGCAAAATGGAAAAGCTTCAGCAGGGAGAGATGAAGAGAGCTGCCTGCGGCAAGGTTCCCAAACTCACCCGTGTAGCAACAGGCACGCTGCGTTGTCCTGAGACTGCAACAGGACTGCTCTGGGAACCGGCTATAAGGAACTTCTGTATCATTGGCTGTAGTCATGCTGTAGGTTGGAAACCTACACCTAACTGATCTGGCAAGGTGTGGAAAATGTGAATTTGGATCCTGTTAGGTGGAGGCAGGGATTGAATCATGTTCTGCGACTTAGAGATGTAAATTTTGTGCTGCTGGATGAAAGACCGACTCTGTCCCTGTGTAGAGCCCAGTTAACAAACTTTAAGTTGCTCCATGGAAATAATACAGGCAGAGGAACACCTGGTAAGAGGTTATGTTTACACCTTGCCCTTTTAGGATTTACATTTGAGGTGGGCCTGAAGGGGCTTAGCTCTGTCTAAAGTACATCAGGCATAACCTGCAATGGACTCGCTAGAGAACTGTGCTCACAAAAATAGCTTTGTGTTTTGGAGGTATTGTTATAATTTTTAGTGAGGCTTAAAGACCAATTTTCATTACTTGAAAAAATTGAATCCTCAAGGTCTGAAATAAGAGCAATAAGCTTCAAGCAAAGTACAGGTTCAACATAATGGCTTTGACTTTAATTATGTTACCTTTATTGCATTATTTAAGAAAAGCATGATAGGTAAAAAAATTCAGCAGAGCATGATGTAACCAAGCTCGTGGTATTAAAGTGTTTTTACTTGTTTATTTCTGAGACAATTTCAACAGTATTTTGAAGTTTGAGGTCTCTAGTCAGGTCCTAGAAATAGGATTAAGCATCAGTGGCTAGTATCACATGAACTTGGAAAATATTTTGCCTTTCTGGGATATTCACTGCTTCACAAATGAAGTCTAAGAAACGGATGAGAAGTTAGTAAGACTTGCCTGCTCCTTCCAAGGGAAAAGGATGTTTTCTTCGAAGTGATGTAGAAGACGAGAAATGTTAAATGAAAAAGTAGTTTGTTTATGATGCCAACTAATAAGGGGTATTATTCCATTCTTCTGGAAATTGTTAAAAACACTTGGAAAGCAGAGACAAGAACCCATTTTGCATACATCTTGCATGTTGGAAAGGAGTGGGTGTCAAAAGCATAGAATATTTCTTAGTGGCATGTTTTCCAGTTACGTTGCACATAATGAAGTTTGTTCTCAGCTGAGCAGCCCAGAGAACAGTCACAGTAATTCATAAGCTCAGTGCTAACCCTTCCTCTCGCCCCACCTCTTCATTTTTTTCTGGGAAACTGAATTCGAGGCAGTTGCTGACCATTTGTGTCAGGTGTTCCAAACTCTCTTGTCCTTACTTAGCAAACTGTTAGATACCAGTAAACTCTGTTTGTCACTGGTATTAAGTTTTATTTCACATCATGTTTCTGAATCGTACAATCACAGATTTCAGTTCTTTGACCCAAAAGTTGTGTGGGGGCTTATGTAACTTTGGGGGAGATAATTTCTGTGGGTCTGAGACACAGTTTTTGCCTATGAAACTTGAAGTAAGATTTCACAGGAGATCAAATGGTAAAAATGTGGGAGTTCGGTTGTGGTGATTTAGTCCACTGATGCTTAAAAATAACCCAAGTTTGATTCTGAGACAACACTGAGTAGAGGAAGTAATTTCATTTAGTAGATGATGCAGTTGTTCAGAAGCAGCTCTTTTCTCGCCTGGGAGAAAGGAAATGCTGAAGTGGCAGTAAGTGGAGAGGCAGGTGGAAGCATGTGGGAATTTGTTTGTTAGCTGGAGGAACAACAGACAGCTGGCTGTGGGAAAGTAGGGCTTCTCAGATAAAAAGGGAATTAACTCATGTGTGGAATGGTAAAGTTACATTTAACGAGGTTATTGTTTATCATAGATTCTTAGAATCACAGAATGGTTTGGGTTGGAAGGGACCTTACAGACCATCTAGTTCCAACCCCCCTGCCACGGGCAGGGACACCTTCCACTAGACCAGGTTGCTCCAAACCTCATCCAGCCTGGCCTTGAACACTTCCAGGGATGGGGCATCCACAGCTTCTCTGGGCAGCTGGTTCCAGTGCCTCACCACCCTCACTGGGAAGAATTTCTTCCTGATATCTAATCTAAACCTCCCCACTTTCAATTTAAACCCATTACCACTTGTCCTGTCACTGCAGGCCCTTGTAAAAAGTCCCACCCAGCTTCCTTGTAGGCCCCCTACAAAATTTAACAAAATTTAAGGATATTCTCTCACCACTGCTGTTGTAGTCCTGCTGACTTTATTGGTGTTGTATAGGTATAAATAAGGCAAACCTTTTCATGAGTGCAGTAGGTTTTCTCTTATGGCTTGGTCAACATACATTATTTGAACAGATGTAGTAGTTTCAATTGCCTACTAGCACGCTGTCATGTTTGTGGTAGTGCCTCAGTTGTAAGACTTGGAGTTTGTCTGACATTGTCACTTAGACTGTGGTTTGGAGAATTGACAACAAATAAAAATTGGAGTCTTTAATGTAAAAAAAAAAAAAAAAAGAAAAACTTAATTAAAAAAAAAACCCAACCAACCAACCAATCAAAAAACCCACCACCACAACCAAAAACAACCAAACACAAAAAACCCACCACCACCAAAACCCACCCAACAGTGATTGCTAAAATAATTTTGGAAATCTGTATTGGTTCCCTTGAGATATTTCTTTTCTTCTCTTATACTGTTAAGTGCTGACTTTAAAATAAATCTGAGTATCCACCAATATTTAAAGACAGTGTACGTTTGAGAACAGATTAATTAATTATCCCCTGGCCTGATATACCCATGCTGTGTTATCACACAGATTCTGAGAACTGAAGTGTAGGTTTGAATTAACAGAATTAGTAACTGCCAAGTATTGTGGTATTGAAATAGAAGAAAATACATGTATAGCATCTTAATCATGAAGCTATGCATTTAAGGTGATTTCAGTTTATGCTAATACCGTAGAGGATGGTTCCATTTTCTTCTCCACCAGCTCCTTGACTGCACGTTCCCACCTCTACTTTGCACTAGGATCAGCATTGGTGTAGTCACACTGTCAACTGGATCAGAAATCTGTCTTGAAAGGTGTTGTGTTTGGTTTTGATAGGGCTGGTTTTCAGCCAGGTGAAGTTTTGATTCAGTTGTCAGCGCCAGCCACCTAAGGAAGGACAGAGAGCTGGAGCATTCCTTTTAGTGGCAGTATGGACTTAGATGAGCTGATTGTGAAACAGAATCTTTGGTACTGAAAATTCTTCTTTAGCCAGAACACAAAAGAAGTACTTGGTCTCAGGTACTGACCTGTGTAAAGAAAACGGGATTGAACTGCCTTTATGCACCATTCTCTACAACCAAACTAGCTGTTAGTGTTTCTTAAACAGGTTTAAGGTAGGCAACTGTGCTGCAAATACTATCTTCTATTATCTTTTCATAGAATCACAGGATGGTTGAGGTTGGAGAGGACCTCTGGAGGTCAGCTGGTCCAAACCCCCTGGTCAAGCAGGGCCGCCTAGAACCGATTGCCCAAGGGCATTTCCAGAGGAAATTTTACTCCAAGGAATTTTACATAAGAATTGTGATAAATATATTATTGAAGTAATACTTAAGCACAAGTCTTTTTACATCTCCTCTTTTCACAAATATTTGAGCAAAACAAAGTACTTGGATTTATGTCATACGTATTAATTTGACACCATCTTTGCATTATAGACCTTAACAGTGTGTCTCCTGTGTTAAGTTTGATAATAGATTGCAACTCTTACTAACTAACTAGTACTTTAGTCGTAGTGCATACTGGAAGTAGCTGTATTGCAGACACTGATTTTTGTAATATAAAGGTAGACCCCAGGGACTGACCCGCCTGATTTGTTCACATTCAGACTAAATTGCAGGCATGTCTGCCACTCTTAAGGGAGCAGGGATGTATCGCTCGGTGTGTATCTCGTCCCTGGTAATCTCATCTTTGCTCAGTCTGTTAGTACTTCTCTATTATTGTCTTAATACTTCTGTCTTGCAGAGAAGAAAACAAATGTTTTTCTAAATATGAAGTGAAGACTTTTCTAGGCAAACTGTACTTCTCATGTATTATCCCACTGTATTAACCGACTGTGTTCATAGTCATTGAGACAAGATTCGTTGTCTTGCAAAACCACAGATTACTGCTGATCCTTTGATTGTCCTCACATTCCTCTATGTAAGCTGATAGTTTCTGTTCTTTACTAAAATCTTCATGCATAAAATTCTATGATGTGACCCTTCTCCCCGGTCAGTGTACTCCCAGTTGTCTATAGATGCAGTTCTTCCTGACATGCTGAAGCTTCTTCTCTAAGTCAGCTGGGAAATCTGTGCTATGTATAGTGTTAGTACTGAAGACCTTGGGAGCCTTCGTGGCTGATTTACATACTATCCAATAAGATGTAATTCTAATAGTAACGTGTCCCTCTGCTTTATCCAGATAGTAATTCTAGTCTAGGACTTCTTATGCAGAATTCTTCTGTAGGCTAGGCAAACCTTTGGAAAAGAAATACTTCAAGCTCTCAGCTTACTGACAAATGCCTATTGACATTTTCCCATTTGAAAGAGTGACTCAAGCAAGTTGGTGGAAGTGTGATTGTCACCCGAGTAAGAGGTTTCTGGTGTTAAGCAACCACTCCAAGGCATAGAAGGAAGGGCTTGGAATGTCTGTAGTGTAACCCAGTTCTGCCTTAATGCTGCTTTCAAAAAACAACATTGGTCTGTCGGTGTTGCGGTTTGCTCTTGGTTGGTAGTTCAGGAGGAATGACGTGGCTCCTACTGTTCTCTTTATATCTCCAGTGGAAGGAATCCTCTGATTTCATTTATTTGTTCTTTTAGCATATGCAGATGACAATCCAGGCTCTCCAAGATGAGCTTCGGATCCAGCGGGACCTGAACCAGCTGTTCCAGCAGGACAGCAGCACTAGAACCAGTGAGCCCTTTGTGGCAGAGCTGACAGAGGAAAACTTCCAACGACTTCACGCAGAGCACGAGCGCCAGGCCAAGGAACTCTTCCTCCTGCGTAAAACCTTAGAAGAGATGGAACTGCGTATTGAGACGCAGAAACAGACCTTAAATGCACGTGATGAGTCCATCAAAAAGCTGCTGGAGATGCTGCAGAGTAAAGGTCTGTCAGCAAAAGCCACTGAGGAAGATCACGAGCGAACAAGACGGTTGGCTGAGGCAGAGATGCACGTGCATCACTTGGAGAGCCTTCTTGAACAGAAGGAAAAAGAAAACAACATGCTGAGAGAGGTAGGTGACCAAAGCTCCGGGTTCATCTCCAATCTTAAGCTCTTCTCTGTCTCCTCTCCATTTCACAGCTGTAAGGAAAGAATCTTCCATCCTCTCTGTAAGCTGTATTTTACATTGCACACTCGACAGAATTTGTCCCTGATTTAAAACTTCTTTATGGCTTCCTTGTATGTGCTTTCTGGGGTTTTGTGCTTTAGGCCCCACTCTCCCTGTAGTCTCCATATGAAGCTCTGGAGGTGAATTGTCACACAGACTGTAAAATTCATTCTTCCGTTCTATTTCATTTGCGAGAAAGTACCTACCTGTATTTAGGAGAGAGCTGAGAGAAATCCTTGCAGGAGTAATGGATGATTGCTCTTTGGTTTCCATGGAAACAGTCGTCTTGCTGTGAAGGGTATTTGATAAAACTATTAGCTGCCCTGAATGCACAGCCAAAAAAATGATTACTTAAAGGGACACTGCTGCACACGTAGTAACCCCTTCCACCCATCCCCCTGAAAACAGAAAAGAAAAAACACTGTTATACCTGTGTTGCACCTTAGAGGAGTACAACGGCAGGCATTCCTCCTATTCATCATCCTAAACAATGACAATGGTATGTAAGCTACGTGTAATATAAATACAGCGATAAAGGCAAATGAATCAGTTGTTGTGTAGCCAGTGTCATTAAATGTCTTGATATTGTTAAATGCATTTTCCTTTTGACAACCAGCCCCCGAAAGTATTCTAATATTAACTTTTGGAAGGCTAGTAATTCAGCATGTGTTGTGTACATACGCAGGTGTCTATGTCTATGCGTGCGTTCACTAATGGTAAGATTTCCTGTAAAAACTCTTCTGCATACATCTGTACGTTGAATGCCTGAATTGACAGCTGTACATGTATGTGTAATCTGTGTGTGGGAATCCAATTACTTTCTTTGGGCACTGTGTGTCTACTTTGCCGTTCAGCATTATTTGAAAGCCTGACCTATACACAAGCTTTAAGCCCCCTCTCTAAGAAGCCAGGGAAACAAGGGCTGCCTGGCACAGAGGGGGTGTTTTGAGATGAGCAGTGTTCATGGCAAATAAATACTTCTTAATACCTCTTATTCATATGTTTTCCAAGGCCTGACCCATTGTACTTGCACTCTTGCAAGCATTTATATAAGAAAGCTAGAGCCCATTCCATTTCTGAGCCAGATTTAGGCCAGATTTATTTTTTTAGAGCAGTAATCTCTTGAGTGTCTGGAGTGAAGATAATATGATTCCAGAGTTTCTACACTACAGTTTTTCCTTTATTTAGCAACCAATGATAATTCTGTTCCAATTCTTGTATCTATTTCAGGAAGAGCCCCAAATGGCTTCCATTTGTTTCTGCATTAAGTCCAGCAGCATAAATGAAAAGCTGGCAGGAGCTTTGTCATTTTTTAGGAATGCAATTACTTTTGTTTCTGCTGATGATGAGTAGATGTTGGGAGATAAGCATTCTTGTTTCATTCACACATATCTGGAAATCATTAATCATTTAAATCCTAGCCTTTGTGACAAAATATTTCCTGGAGAAGGTAGGGATGACTTACTGAGTTTGAAAATGCAAATGCTAACATTTTAAAATTAATTACTCCTTGCTGCTCACCCAGCTCTAATGCATTGGGAAGGGTAAGATGGGTATATACTGTGATTTGTAGCTCAAGCCATTGATATGGTGTGGGATCCAGCCTTGAAGCTGAGCACCCTAGTAACCTTGGAAACATGATGCCATGTGCGGAGATGCCAAATTATCTCCTTGTGGAAGCAGGTCACATCAGGAAGGGTTTTGTTAGTACCCCTGTGTTGTCCTTGAGCTCTGAGCTAGACTGAGCTAACTGAACTTGGCTTGTCTGCGTGAAACTCTGGTCTCATGACTGGGGCTCCAGGAGGGTGGAGAGAATCAGACGATGTTGCTGAACTGTAGCTGACTGCATCTGACTTCCTGAGCACCAATTTGCCCTGCCTCTGCAGGATCTGATTCAGAGTTGCTATCACTCTTCCACACTTGGGAGTTGTCTCAGTGCAGAACCTTTTAGCTGCACCTGCATCACCCTACTCAGTTAATCTTCTAACATGTGTTTATCTGTATATCTGTAGCTTTAGGTTATTTTACTACCCTAGATACTAAGTATGGAATTTCTGAGCTGTTCTGAGGAAATCTATCTGCTTTCTTGATGGTTTTATATCTAGCATTCCCAGCGTCTGGAAAGGCACGCTAAACGCTTCTGTAAATACTGTCGTTAGAGGAAGCATTAGTATCTCCAATGTGCTCGGGAGGTCAGCATTTATACTTCATCTTCTAACACATTAGGAAAGCTGGGAAAAACCTTAATAGCTGTTTTGAGCATCTGAGCTAAAGCAAGTTTTGGGATGTCAGAATCCACTAGTATTGTTTCTGACCTTACAAGTTGTCGTGGTTTAGACCCAGTAGGTAACAAAGCACCACATGGCCACTTGCTCACTCCTCCTGCCTGTGGGATGGGGAGGAGAAAATAGGAGAAAAGGCTCATGGGTTTACACAAGGACAGGGAGGCATCACTCACCAGTTTGGTCATGGGCAAAACAGACTCAACTTGTAGAAGAAAAATTAATTTAATTAGTTATCAATCAAATCAGTGTAGGGTAATGAGAGATACACCCAGATCTTAAAAACCCCTTCCCCTTGCCTCTCCCTTCTTCCCAGGCTCAGCTTCACTCCCAATTTCTCTACCTCTTCCCTCCAGCAGCACAAGGGGATGGGGAATGGGGGTTGTGGTCAGTCCATCACACATTGGCTCTGCCGCTCCTTCCTCCTCGGGGGAGGATCTCCACACTCTGCTCCTGCTCCAGCCTGGGGGCCCTCCCACTGGAGACAGTCCTCCACCATCTTCTCCAACGTGAGTCTTTCCTGTGGGCTGCAGTTCTTCACAAATTCTCTCTCACATCCCACCTCTCTTTCTTAATCCTCCCTGTTTCCGCATCTGCTGCTGGTTCTCTTTTTCTTTTCTGCTCTTACATACGTTAATCACAGAGGCACTGACTGGCTGGGCTGTGGCCAGAGGTGAGTCCGAATGGAGCTGAGGAAGCTTCTAGCAGTTTCTCACAGGAGTGACTCCTGTGGCCCTTAGCTCACTACTAATCTCCCTCACCACACAAACCCAACACACAAGTGTGTTAGACTTCTGGTAAAAACATTTGCTGGGAATAATAATTAAGATCTGCTTGTTGAAGCAAAAAGGTATCCCTCCATTTTTCAGCTTTGAAGCCTACATGTAATTCAAAGTGTGGTTTGAGACTCAAGGTCATCAGATGGTTTCTCAGACCGACAGTGCAGGTGCAGTGGCCAGCAGTGTGACCTTGAAAGTTAAATATGAATTAATTGATTTTTATTTTTTTTCCCCATCTGTCGCTGTTACTGAGATTGTACTAAAGATTTCACTAACTTCCTAAGGAAAGAAAGTTTTTAGAGAACTCAGACTTGTGGTTCTGATAAGGTAATAACCAAGAAATAGCTGTACTGCTTCAGGCCAATGATCCCTTTAGTCCAGCATTCTGTTTTACATGGTGTCCATAGGAAAGGGTAAGAACAAAGCAAACATGATACTTCTCTGTAATTCTTTCCCTTCCTCCCAACTATTTACAGATGAGGGTTTTCTTGAACTTCTTATGACTTGTCAGTTTAGTATCCCCCATGGATGTGACATCCACGTACATGGCCTGTGTCTTCTTGAGCCCATGTAAGCTTTTGTAGCTGTAGCATCATTTGGTAAGTGGTTCTTCAGGCCTATGCTCTGTAGCAGGAAGAACCTCCCTCATTTCTTTTGAGTCTGAACGTGTCTCCTAGTAACTTCATTGACAGCCTCTTGCTCCTACACTGGAAGGCACAGTGCACAGGTGATCGCCGTCGAGACTCTGTGCCACTCACAATTTTAGACTTGTCATATCCCTTCCAAGTACTCCTTTTCCAGGCTGAAAATTCCAACACTACTTAATTGTTCCTCATATAAAAGATATTGCATATCTTTGATCATCTCCCAGAGCACTGTCTCAGTGTCCTATATCCAGGTCATGAAATGGATTTTCCTGCAGATAATAAGAGTTTTCTCCATAAGCAGTTTGACTCTCCTGGGCTTTGCCCAAATGTCCTGAATTTTGGGAAACTCCGTGTTTCCGTACAAGTCCATAGGAAACATCCTGTATCCAACATGGGTTGTATTTGGCAACTCATTAATACAGAGGTCAGTCTCTCATTAATGCAAAATAATGAAAAATTAAATGTTTCATTGAACATCTGAACACAGACGTGGATCTGGATGCCCTGACTTTAGCAGATGACAGTGTGGCTGCAGCACATTCCTCTATCCTAGAAAACAAGCTTAAACATCATAGCTTATAAAAAGATGGCTGCTATTTTGAATACCCCTTCTTAAGTCTTAGTGAAAATTATTCATATTATTGTTGGTATTTAGACTTAACTTTCAGAAACAAGATTATTATCATACCAGCAAGAAATACTTGACAAAATTCAGCAGCTGGACTACAACCTCTGAATAGCTCCCAAGTTAACATCAACTGCCACCTCATGGTTCCAGACTCACCTGTTGCAGAATTATCAGTAACGGCAGTGACAGCACATAGCGCGAAAGATAACCAGGCCTGCACCACTCTTTTTGACAACCACCCTGTCCCCAAAATGCAAGTTGCATTCGGTACAAATACATTTTTTCTCAGCTACACAGAGTATGGGATTATGGTGGGTTTGTGTGGTGAGGTTTCGGAAGGCAGGGAGGGCCTACAGGAGTGGCTTCTGTGAGAAGCTGCTAGAGGGTGGGAGGCAGGGACACGATGACACTGCTGTGGAACCTCCAGTGGGGAGAGGAGTGGGATGTGAGAGAGACAACCAGGCAGACACCCGAGTCAGTGTGGAAAAGCAGGAGGAGGTGGCAGGAGTAGAGGTTCCCATGCAGCCCATGGTGAGAGGGCAGGCTGTGCTCCTGCAGCCATGGGGGT